GGACGGTTCGGGACGGTTCGGGACGGAACGGTTCGGAACGGTTCGGAACGGTTCGGGACGGTTGGGAACGGTCCGGAACGGTTCGGAACGGTTCGAAACGTTTCGGAACCGTTCGGGACGGTTCGGAACGGCTCGGGACGGCTCGGGACGGTTCGGGACGGCTCGGGACGGGTCGGAACGGCTCGGAACGGTTCGGAACGGTTCGGGACGGTTCGGAACGGACTCACAGCAGCTCCACCCGACAGCTGAAACTTTAACCCCCAGGAATGCTTAAGACTGGAGTTGCATCGCATATTTGATTCTCATTACACCCTCTTGGTGGCTCTGGGTGGCTAACCTCCGATTTGTTAAGTTAAGCATTCCCAGGGCTTTCCAAACTCTAACCATGCATCGGCAACCCTGGAAGGTGCACGGCATTGGACGGACACCGACGCGGCTCAAACCTTCAGCATGCGGAGCGCTGAAGAAGCGATGCATGCAAAGCCTACATAGGCTCCGCAGGTCTTTGCTGATCCATTTCCCTGACGAGCCGCATGCCGACACTGCAACTTCCTGTGACACGTGGCAGCAACATAGCGGAGCTCGTGAGCCCTCAAAGGAGCAGCATTTCGCATTTTGTGCGCTTGCTGAGCTCCAAGAGGAATCCCATCTCCTTGCTCTGCTGGCCATTGCTGGCTGACTTCATAAGGGAAGTCCCGAGGCGGGATCGGCACAACGGCTCAAAGCAGTTTAAGCACTTGGCTTCTCGCATCCGCAACCCAAGTGAACATTCCTGCAAAAGACAGGCAAAGAGCCTTTGCGGTTTTTCTGAAGGAATGTTCACTTGGGTTGCGGATGGGAGAAGCCACGAGCTTCAGCGGAAGAGCAAACGACTCATTGTCTGTTCAGACTGCCAGTGTACTTTCATCACCTCGCACTACACACGAGGGGAGGACGATGCTTGTGCTGGTCTCTCGTCTGATCCAGGGACGTCCCCCACCGCAGTCCAAGCAAATACGGTGTATGCACTCATCTCCTTGCTCTGCTGGTCGAGCTTACAGTGACAGCATTCCCTAGCTTCGAGCAGCAACCATCTGAGCCCGAGCAGGCTACTGCCAGTAAGATTCCCGCTTGGAACAGTCGGCATGCAAGCATGTAGTCAGGACCTTCCCTGTGCGCAACCCAGCGACATGCCAAGAGCCCGGCACAAATCAACGCTGAGGAGGTGCTCATGCCTGTCACGTGCCGAATTCCTGCCTGATGCAACAGCTTACATCCGACTCGTCTGCCGACTGCCTGAAGCAGGAGGCAAGTCGCAAGCAATGGCGACCTTGATACTGGCCATGCAAGCGTTACTTGCTTGCCAATTTGGCAGAATGTGGCTCGTCCTGTGTTCTGAGATTCTAGGCTTGCTGCATCACAACCCAGAAGTTGCTGCTTCTGACCGAAATTCTGCGAAAGCCGCCGTGCAGCCTGAGGCCCAAATTGTAAGGTGTCGTGCGTGCGAATGCAAATGCGCAAACGAGTGACCAGATCAGGACCCGGCTGTCGTGATGTAAAGGGACCAGTGGTTCTGTCGTACCTCAGTCGACGGAACATTGGTTGCCAGAAACCTGCTGCAATCTGATCAATTCAGTAGTGCAAAAGGCTAAAGTACCAAGAGCTTCACAGTTCAATGTAGGGGGTTGGCTTGCGAGCCGATTCAGTTCAGGTAAATTGTTGTGGGGTAGCAGGTGCTCGCCGGAGGAGCTCGGTGGCTCACATGCTTTGGTCGCTACTCGCCTGCCCCCGATGACACAATCAACCAACCGCATCAACGCATTCAAGAAGGCGGCAGCGAACAAATACGAGAAATGAGGGATGGCAGAGGCTCTCGGATGCCAGGGGACCTCGAGGCTCGTTGTCAAGGGCACCTCAACGATGCCATCCTGGCCAAGAGTCCCAAGTGCTGGGAGCCGCAGGGGAGGCGAAGCTCCCACCTATTCGACTACGGCTGCAAGTCTGTGAAGTCCACGCACCTTGTCGCCGGCCTTGAACTGGAGACTGACCTCCATGCCACATGCCACGTGATGCCACCATGCCGCTATATCGCATTCTGCGAAGGCTGGGGTTCTGTCGGCTCGAAGCAGGGCATCTTGACGGTCGGTCGCCAGTACACAGAAACCACGACTGGCATTCCATGGAATACAAGTTCGATGCAAGGCTGAGATGTACCCGAGGCTCAAACTTGATAGCGCAAAGCAGAGACCGCCCACCAGCATAGTCGGTGTGCTTTCCAACTACCTCACGCATCATGTCTCTTCCGGAGGGGGGGGGGGAACCAATTCCCAAAGCCAACAGCCGGCCTCGATGCGGCCTGGAATCCAAAAGACTCGACAAGGCCTCTCGTACGCTTCGGGCTGTGGGGGACCGGAGGATCAGCCGGCACTAGGAAGCCTGCCTGCGGCAAAAACCCGTACGCTTCGCGAAAATAACAGAATGCTGAAGACTCCCAACAAAGCAGAGAAGACGGTGTCGGGTTTAGATAGCTGCGTGGCAAAAAGAAGGGCGACACAGGTAAACTTCAATGCACTGCAGGCAAGGGCGAGCGGGTCTCTGACGTTGATTCATGAATGTCGAGGTCGAGCAATCGCTTTGCAGCCTCCAGTCGGCGGTCAAAGCATGAACCACAAGCAATGCTTGCCTCTTAAACGGAAATGCCTGAGCGGCAACAAAAGCGCACAGCAGACGGCAGGTGCCTGGACAATCAAGCCAAACTTCTCGGAAAGCCACGACGGCTGAGATCCTGCCCCACAGGTTTGAGTTCGAATGCCATTCTGCAACGCGCTATGCAAGCTACGAAAGGCCAACAACAGCCCAGCAAGAAGCTCCACTATTGAAACATGTATCCCGCGTCAGGCACATCAGGGAGTCTGAAGATGCTAGCTCCTGGCGGGGCGCAGCCCTTGAAGCCGCGTTTTAAAAGATCTGGACACCACGAGCGGGCATTTCACGAGCCAGAGCACGGCAGACCGGAGTCGGCGAGCCAGCCGCCGAAGCATCAGCAGCAGCACCGTTCCAGAGACACGGAGGAGGAAGACCATAATCACAAGCGCAAGGGAGGGCAGTGCCCGATAGCGCAGGCGCTTCCACTGGCTCCGCAAGATGAAGCGCAGCGCACGCCTTTCACGCTGGGCCCGCTGCCTTTGGAGCTTCTCAAACTCTTTGGAGCCAGCAGGCGGCTCTTTGGCAGCGCTCCGAGCTGATCTCCCGAGCGGCCAAACGCGGCGGATGTCCAGCTGTTTCGCAACAAAGGATGCTGCTTGTTTTCGCAATGAGCGTCCCTGGTTGGAGGCCAGGTAAGCGAACAACGCCTTGATGTCCACGTCGTAGGCGAGTCGTCGCAGGCTGCGGCCCTCACTGGAGCCCAGTAGACCCTCTAAAGGCTTAAAGCCACTTTCAGAGGCCAGAGAAGGCTCGTCGCTCTCATCCAACAAACTCATCTTTGCATCATGTTCTGCTTCACCTTGCTCTCTCTGCGTCTTCAGCAGCCCTTCGAGCTCATTCCACTTCAGCTCTCCGTTCTCGGTCAGCACATTATTCCGGAAGGCTTTGCGGGAGGCGGCAGTGCTTGGCGAAACGATACGGCGCAAAGTGATGGGCAGCGCCGTCGTATAGATGTTGAAATCCGGGTCGTATTGTGCTGCGATTCCCTCCAATGTCACGAAGGTGCGTGTCATCAGCACCACATAGTCTGGAGTCAGCATCAGGAACCGATTTGACAATCGCTTCAGTGCAGCTGCCATATCGCCGAAGCGACTCTGTGCATCACTGTCGTCTCCAACTTCTTCAGCAAGTCCGGCCACAAATTCCTCGAATGTGCTCTCTACCCACAACGGCCGCGTGCTGTTCGGTCTCAAATTCTTCCGGACCTAAGACAAATCTGGGAGCAAACAATCAGGTAGCATTGCCAGCACCAAGCCAACCCGAAGACTCTCGACTGTGCTCGGGCTTAATGGCAGCAAACTGGGAACATGCTCAATTGCTAAGGCTCGGGCAGGATTGGGCACAAACTCAATGACTTGCATGGCCTGTGCCAGCTGAGTCCAGTTCCGGGCGACAACACTTCGAATTCCTTCAGCAAAGCCTTCCATGACTCTGGAGTCCACCCTGTCCATCAATCCGAAGTCCAAAAAGCAGATTCTTCCATCGTCCATATACTTCAAGTTTCCTTCGTGGGGGTCTGCGTGCACAAAGCCAGTGATCATCAATTGCACCAGGCATGCCTCTGCGGCCAGTTGAACGGCTCTGTGCCGTAACCTTTCAGGCAGGTCCTGGAAGTCCAAGCCATCTGCCCACTCGGTGCTGAGTACACGAGCATCTCCCACGGGACCGGTGTATTCATGCACCCAGGCAGGCGCAGTGACAAATCCCAACCACATGTGCTCACGCACGAAGTCTTCCATGTTTCGCCCTTCGTTGTGGTAGTCTAGCTCGAGAAAGACGCCACTAGCAACCCCATCCGCGAGCTTGGCAAAGTCATTGAAAGATCCAGTGATGAGCCTCTGAAGCTTTAAGCCCAGGAACCAGCAAACCCAATCACATGCCACCAGGCGAGCTACACCTGGCCGCATGACCTTGACGGCGATATCCTTTCCTTCCCGAGTGGTCGCCTTGTAAACCTGTCCTAGGCTTGCAGCTGCCACAGGCTTGCTTGAGAAGGCCCGAAACAGGGGAGTGCAGTTCGCTGAAGCATTGAGCCCTAGGCCCAGGCCCTCAGGACAAACACCGGGGGCTAGCGGGCCAGTGTGGCCCAAGTCTTCCAGCACGATGCGATGTGCTATCTCATCGGCGAAGGGCGCGCTCTTGGACTGCAAAGTCTTCAGAACCTCTGCTGCCTCTTCCCCCACGATGTCAGGGCGCTGCGCGAGCGTCTGTCCGACCTTTACAAAGACGGGGCCGAGCTTTTGCAAGCTGGTCTTCAAGTGCTCTCCTCGATTTTGGCCGTTCGGGTCCGTCCAGGTTTGCCATGTCGGCCAGAGAACCCCGCCTATCTCGAAGAAACGCCGCAGAATCAAGTGTGGGCGCCAGCTGAAGAACCGGAACATCCGCTCCTTTGAAAAGCCTCCTCGGAGCAGTTCCTCGTACTCTTGGTCCTTCTTCTGCTGGAGCAACCAAGCCTCCACTGCAGGACTGACCAAACGCCCAACACGCTTTGGTGCTCTGCGCCGGTCATTCTGAGAGCTGTACCCTGCAAATACGAACAGTCTCAAAGTGGCACAGCTCAGGATACAAATGAAAGGCAGAAGCCACCTGTGCCTGCCATGTCGGCTTTGGCATGCCATGAGTGTGTGGTAGATATTATCACGCTCTCACTATGGACTGGGACTTCATGGAATGCCGCAATTCCTACAACTCCTACAGCTGAGAGCAGCTCTCTGTACGTCTTGCGGATCAGAATTAAGGGCACTTCAGGCGAAAGTCGATCATGCAGGGGACTGTGCTCGGGCTTCGGGTTTGCGAGCTGTACCGACTCACCCGAAAGCCTTTAAACCTTAGCATACCTGCGAATGTGCAGCTGTCATGTTGGCTCCAGCTTGACATCAATTGAAACCAGCCTTCTGAGAGCCCGATGCAAGGCGCATGCGAGTGGGGGCGGGACTGTAGCCTAAGACAACCCATCAACATCGTACCAGAGGTCCTTTAGGTTCAAGTCAAAGGACGGGAATCCAAAGTGTGCTTTGTTTCACATGCTGTGACATCTCGTCTCAACAAACTAAGCGCTTGTCGAAGCTTAAGGCTAGCAAGCTTGCCACCAATGCGTTGCCAAAGCGCCCAAAACCCGCATCGATTGGTGAAATTCCGCTCTGTCCTTGTGTGTCGAGTAGATTGGCCAGCCTAGGTTGACAGATTCTTCAGCTGCACATATCAACGGTTCAGTCTCAACTTCCCAAGTCGTCCGCCGGCCCAAGCTAAGTGCCATGAGTTCTCAGATGGCGCAGTCGCACAGCCTAACTTGGAGGCTCTGGAAGAGTAAACTTGTCTGGTTTGGCTGGAAAGCAGAAGCCATTAGTTTGAGAGGGCGTGGCCATTGCTGCGTATGTAGGCTTTGCTATGCTGTTGCCAACATGGAGCTTGTCGTCACATGCAGCACCACAGATGTCCAGGCTCGTGTGACATCGCGGCGGCTTCGGCATGCCAAACATCCTCTTTGGGCTTCTGAAGGCATCAGGCATGTGAACGCAGGTGTAGGAGAGTGCGTGCAGGAAGAGTACCGAGTAGTGCTGGCTGCTCCATTTCCCGGATCCAGCTTCTGCGTGCAGGCACGAGCCATGAAAGGCTGCACGGACCTCGATGGCAGTTTTTGCCAGCCGAGACCAGGCACCCACGCAAGCAAATGGCCGAGCAAACGTTCCTGCTCCAGCTATCTCCTGCTCCTCACGGTCGCACGTTTCTGATGAGCACGTTGATTCCGCAGAAGGGCGATGCTGTACAGCGTGTAGCCAACATGCATCTCAAAGGCCTGGCATCTCACAGGACGAATGGGAGCTGAGGCAGAAGCTTCATCAAATGGTGCGAGCGGGCGGTGCCTGAGTCAGGAGGGCTTCCCTCCCAGTGATCGATTTTGCCATCGAAGAAATGGCCGACATACACCTTGGTGAGGTACTGTCATCCCACCTTTGCAGCCTTTTGACTGGCGGAGGTCTGTGGAGATGTTCAGCTTTGAGAGCTGTGCAGCATCGTCTTGATCTGTGAGGATGCCGCGACCATGTTGACCGCCGGCCTGCACAACCAAGTCAGGCAGGGGAAAAGCCCGGGAACACGTCCACGCCGTCCAGCCACCCGCTCCCGTTCAAGGTGTGCCTTCCAGGAGCCTTCGTAGCTCTTCCACTTCCCAGATGTCCATACCTGGCGAAGCGCAGCTGCGCGAAGAGCCCTAAGGCGAAGAGCCCTACGGCCCTAAGGAAGCCGAAGCCCAGGAGCACCATCTTTCCGAAGCCATGTCTTCGGTTCGCCTCGAACTGGCCCTTGTACCTCCCGTGCCGCAGAGCCCGTGTGCTGGTGCGCTGCCTTACGTGTTCGGGGCGCACTCGACTCCATCGACCCACTGCATGCAGCCGTCTCCACTCATGCAGTCCTCAAACCCCACCCTTGCACGGGCACATACAGTTACAGGCACAGATGCCCATGCAGTTTCCGCTCCTCCCTGAACTGACCCCGATAGACTGAACCGTCGGTGCCTCGGAAGACAGGAAGACAGGAAAGCTTAGAGTCAGAGGCTTAGCGCAAACGCCCAAGGTGACCATTTTCCGCACTTCCTCCCGAGGTTCCAGCGCACCAGCTCGCCGTCACCGTTTGCGCGACCTGTCAACCAGCCACGTCGAAACCCCCTCGATTTTCTGAGCTCGGCAATATCATGCTTCGTTGATCTTCGCTGCTACCTGTGGCAGAATACAACCAAACCATCATGATTGGCTTCCGAGGATATATATATATATATATATGTGTGTGTGTGTGTGTGTGTGTGGGTGTGTGTATGCGCGCGCATCATCGTGGATGCATTCCCGGATGGGATGTCACGAGACTTCAGGCACCTCGTTCGAAGAGGCCTGTGTACCTGCACAGTCAGAATTGATAGATAGCGAGAACTATAACTAGAACCTGAGCTGCGCTGCTCCGGCCTGGACCCCTCAGGCCACGTCATCACTCCATGGCCATGACGCAATCCGTGGACCTGCTTTCCGAGTTTGACTCGAGAAACTCGAGACTTGACGCAGGCCCACAATGAGGTACAAACGTAATTGCCGCGGAAGACGGTCCCATCTGCCCAGTATTCTCTCCTCGGAGAGTCTGCTACTGCAAGTGATGTTCCGTGACAAGGGCCGAGTGCCCGGCCCGGGTCCGTGCCGTTCATCCTTGTGCCACTGGCATTCGTGCTTCGTGCCGTCCTCGCAGATGGCTGGAAGGGGTTTGCTCATGGCTGTTTTTGAGGGTTCTCGTGCCAGGGGAGGACCTTCAAAGATGGCAAAAGCAAAGCAGTCAGCAAAGACAAGAAATTCGCAGCCGCAGAGCTGCCGGATGCTATGATAAAACATGCAAGGTCTTGCGTTCCTTCTTGTAAGAGTTCCAAACCCGTCAAGCACCCTCAGTCCGGAAGGTGAAGTGTCCCTCGGCCATGACGCTGGTACTCGCTGAAGTCGCCTTCTTAAAGTGATCGGGCTTGGCACAGTGATACGCCCTTCCCCAGCGGAATGTAGGGCCTACAAGCCAACTGAAGTTTTCTGAACCACCATCCCAAACTAGAGCTCTCGTGGACTTTCTAGGCAGGCCAGGGCATGCTAAGCCTGGCACCCTCGTACCAGGAGTGGTTGGGATATGTCACTCTCCTGCGCAACAGCGACTTTTGTTGCACGAGCTGTGAGGCGACTGTCATCAAGGAGAACTGCATTGCTAGATGCCGTACAGTCTGAGGCAGCGTGCCCGCGACCCTCTTTCGGAGGCGAAGTATTTGCTTGCGTAGCGGGCTCGTCCAAGTCTGCGTCGCGTGCAGTCGTGGCGGCTGACATGGTGTCGACCTCGGCTGAGAGCGATTCGTACAGAAGGCACCCGGCGAGCTCAAAAATCAGGGGCCGATGCTGATGTCATCCCGCGGTCATGCTTGCTGATCAAATACACAAGGAACTGACCGAACACGTCCCGCTGCGAAACTGGCGCAAGCTGATGGGCACGCTCGTGCGCTTGTGCAGATTCGGAACTTCCACCGAGACTTTGCGGGCCGCACCGTTTGCGAAGAGGAAGGAGAAGGACCGGGCGGGGGTGTGCAAGACTAAGGCCTCGGCTGTTTCCAACACGAATATTCGCTCACCGTCGTGGCCCCGGAGACTCATGCAACACTGGGCTTTTCCGTCCCAGGCGACGATCGAAGCAAGCATGGGGTGCAAAACCCCTTTGCTGCACACACCCCTGCCTCCATGCTTGCGGAAGCGCATCTCGTCTGCTCCGCAGACATGCGCGCAACTTTCCCCGGTCCATGTTTCATTCCCTATGGTCAGGCCGAGTCCGCCTGCAGACTGAGAGCCTTCTGGCCATCACGCATGGCTTTTAGCAGCACGTCCACCTGGCAGCGGGCGGCAGTGCAGGCGGGCCGACAAATCGCAGGATGGATGCTAGAGGCCCCGCCTTCGACCTGTCTACGGCCTCCGGTCCCGATGTTTTCCTGCGCTTCTGTGCTTCGGGACTTTCTTCGACCTCACCACATGACTTGTCGATGTTTATCGAAACAAAAAGAAGCTGAGAACCGGGCCGACCTCTTCGGTACGAGGCTAGCTGGCGCCACGTTCATGGATTCTGCGAAGCCATCCAAAACAGCGGACGTGTCCTGCACGGAGCACAGGACTGCCGACTGCGATCTGAACTTGAATGAACATGCTCTGTCCTGCTTCTTGCGCTCTAAGCTGTTGTAGATAATCTCGTCGGGCGTGTTTGGCGCGACCAGAAATTCCACGACCACCTTGCTGTGGGTACTGCCAATACGATGAGCTCTTGCTTCAGCTTGTTCCACACACCCCGGGACCCAGTAGAGCTCTGCAAAGATCACCAGGCTGGCAGCTGTCATCGTCAAGCCCTCACCACAAGCGGTGATCGACAACAGAGCAATTCGGCAGCTGGGATCTTCTTGGAACTGCCTTACAATCTCTTGGCGTTTCGCCATTGGGGTGCTGCCGTCGATTCGTATAAAGGAACAGCTCATCTTGGGCAGGTGCTTCTTTAGAAGCTCCGAGATTTCGTCCAGCATGAGCTTGTGGTGTGCGAAGATGATGATCTTGTCGTCCACGCGTTCCAGCACTTCGGAAAGGTACTCTTTTACAGCTTTGAGCTTGGCCTTCGCAATCTGCATGAAGATGTCGGAACTGTCCGGCTTCGAGGGACCATCTCCGATGAAGTCATGTAGATCATCGGACTGAACGCCGCGCAACAACTTTCCATCAACGTCCAGCGGCACACGCTGCCGCCGCTTCTCAGGAAGCTGCGAGAGGACTTCCTTCTTCTGCCTTCGAATCATGACCGTGGACATGAGGAGAAAATTCAACTCTGCAGCACATCGAGCACCCACGACTCTGCTTATTGCGCGTCCACCATGGAAAGACTGCTGCTGCATAACGCAGTATCTTGCTCGGAAATCGACAAGCCTCGCAACGTCAGGAATCAAGCCACAAAGCCTGAGTGGCAGCACATTTGATTTCGCAGATATTTCGCTTCTCTCTTGGCCTAATCTCAGTACGAGGTTCTGGCTTGCCATACTCGTACGACTGCGACTATGACCACGACTTCAACGACGATAACGAGGAGGAGGACGACGACTACTACTGCTATACTGCTGCTACAGCCACGACTATTGCCACCACTACAGGTACTCGGTTTTCGAAGGTTTTGAAACTATCGAAGTGAATGATCCAAGCAGAGGCTTCAAGCCCCTTGTGTCAAAGAGCAGCCTCTTTAGCTTGCAAGATCGAAGGTGGTGTCGAAGGCTTTGAAGGCTTCGAAGGTGCAGCAGCAACAGCAGTCGTAATAGTGGCTGCTGCTACTGCCACTGCTACTCCTACT